GCATAAAATGGTAGAGTCCCTAAGGAAAATAGTCCAGCAGTTCCTCAAATGTTTAAATGGAGACTTACTGTATGACCCCAGCAATTCTACTCAAGAGAAATGAAAATATGTGATTCCATAAAAACCTGGATACAAATATTTATAGCAGCACTATTCAGAGTAGGCAAAAAATGGATAACAAAAGTCCATACATTGATGAATGGATTACAAAATGTGGTATATCAGTATGATGAAATATTTTTGCTATATAAAAAAGAATATAGCATTGATAGACACTACTACATGGATGAACCTTGAAACCATTGTTAGGTGAAGGCAGTCAGTCTGCATATTATAATCCCATATTTATGCAATGCCTACTAGTTGCCTAGGACTGCTAATAATAGGTACAGAATTTCTCTTTGGGGTGATAAAACATTCCAAAATTGATTGTGGCATATTTGTACAACTATGAATATTTTTGTAACTATGAATATACTAAAAACCATTGAATCGTATTCTTTAGAATTATATGGCATATGTGTTAAATCTTGGTAAAACAGTTAAAAATATATTGTAAGAATGAGTTCCTAGCTTTAATAACTGGAATCATGATGTCACCATTAGCCCAAATTGGAACTACAGGAAGCAGAGATGAGAAAAATGAGATTGGGACATACACAGTGGCTGTGATGAACACACACTAAATACCCTAGGCTGGAACTCTGGAAAGAGGATAATAATGCAAATGAGCTATGATTCATTGAGCATTTATTAGGTAGCTGGTGCTATAAGTATCTTGTTTATGTAAACTGCCAGGTAGGCTCTATACATACACTATTTATTGTTTCTGCTCCTTCTCTTCCCTGTGTAAACAAGGAGAGGTGGGCTCTTACTGCTGCATCCTGAAACCTACAACTGGCAGAAAGATGGTGTGGAACATTCACTGGATGAAAACAAATATAGATCTTTTAACCTTCCTAACAACCCTCTGAGGTAGATTTATGTTCCTATTTTACATGATTTTCCTAAGACCACAAAGCTTATAAGTGGTAGTGGTCTATGAAGTGTCACAATTTCTCAATTTCTTGGTATGGATTTGAAATGAAGAAAAGCAGTAAAGGTAATATAGACCCAATTTCTGCAAATTTATAACATATAGGAATACCTAATTGTATTGGTGTCAGTGTAATACAATAGTAAACAGGACAAAAATCACAACAAAAATGTTTAAATTTTTTTTAATTAAAAAAATACATTTAAAATAAAATCCATAAGAATTTGCTCACATCCTTGCTAGTAAGGAAGAGCTTTCACAAATATTATCATAGAAAACCCCGACAATGCTCCTAATGGGACGGTACCATTACTACTCCAATCAGCCTTTTGCCTTCTACCTAAACTACACTCCCCAAATTGACCTCCACTTTACTAAAAGCAACTGAAGGCTTAGTCCTCATTGTACTTGTATCAGAAGCTTTTGACACTTTGATCCTTCACACATTTTCCCTTGGCTTTCAGGTCACCCTTACTCTGTTATTTTTCTCCTACCTCTCAGTTTCCTCCTTTGTTACTTCCTGCACTTCTGTATGAACTTTCAACTTCAGAGCCTCCAAGGCTCAGTCTTTGCTTTTCTCTATGCTCACTTCCTGATTATTCTATTGGTTTTAAGTACCACCTATGTTATAATGACTCTAGAATTTATATCTCCAGCAGACCTCTGTCCTGAACCCCAGTCTCATACATCCAACTACTAACCTGACATTTCCACTTGGCTGTGCTATAACCTTCAATTCAACATGTGCAAAAATAGTCTTTTGATCTCCTTCTTACCCCAATTCTCAGTTGCTCAAGCCAAAATCCCTTATTTTAACCTTTGACTCATCTTTCTTTCACCCCATATCTCATGTATCATCCCATATATCAGGAAATTTTATTGACTCTCCTGAATTTCAGCTAGGAATATAGGTTCTTGACTAGTATGTGCAAGGCCCTGGGTTTGATCCCCAGCAGAAGGATTGAGGGACATATACAGATAAAGATAGATGGATAGATAAATAGATAGATAGGGAGATAGGGAGATAGACAGATATGGAAATGGAAAGAAAGAAAAAAACACACATCCACTTCTCAGTACCTCCCTCATTGTTCCTCTGGTCTAATGCCCCTGGATTCAGACAGAACCTTCCTAATAGGGGTTCCTGCTTCTAAACTTATTGTCCTTTGGACTACTCTAAACATGGCATCCAGAATGATCTCTTAAAACCTAACTCAAACCACCAAAGTGGCTCTTACTTCACTCATAGTTAAGAGTAATAGTATACAAAATGGCCCACAAGACCCTGAATAATCTGGTCCTCCCTTACTTGCTATCTTCCTTTCCTATTCCTCCCAGGCCCACTTGACTATAATAACCCCAGCTTCCTTACTGTTCTCTACTTGAGACCTGTGTTCTAACAATTTTCTCAATGTGGAATGTTCCTCACATGACCCTCACCTCTTATGATTCTGCTCAAACCCCTTCCCAGTGAGGCCTGCCCTGACTACATTGCCTAACACTGCAATCTTCCCCACTCCACCAGCCTTTACCATGTTCTAATTTTTCTTCTCTCAACTCCACTTTCCACCTTCTAACTCACAACATATACAAATCTTGTATTAAGTTTATTATTTGAAGTCCTTCCATTAAAAATTAAAACCCTGTAAGGCAATGGTCTTTGTTTTGTTCACTGACATTTCCCAAGTTTGTAGGAAAAAAATGAAACCTGGGGAGGTTATGTTATTGTTTTTTGTCACTGACTCAAAATGTGTCTGAGCAAGAATTTGAACCTCAGAGAAAACCCTAATTTTTTTTCCATACAGTTCTATTACCCAATGACCACAAACTAGTGAATGAACCCCTGGCTGCAAAATTATTCCTACTATCAAGCACTATCTATCAATAATCCACCACTTCTTTCCCTTCTCAGTTCTATAATGGCTTCCGGATTACCACTAAGTCAACTACTCAGTCTGTTTTTTGTTTGTTTGTTTGTTTTGGTATACCAGGGATTGAACCCAGAGTCACTCAACCTTTGAGCCATATCCACAGCCCTTTTTTGTACTGTATTTGGAGAGCGGGTCTCACTGAGTTGCTTAGGGCCTTGCTAAGTTAAGTTGCTGAGGCTGGCTTTGAACTTGAAATCCTCCTGCCTCAGCCCCCTGAACTGTTGGGATTACAGGCATACACCACCATGCCAGGCTTCAATTTGGTGTTTTAGACCTGTCATAACTGAATCTAAAACAACCTCTAGTCTCCATTATAATCTTGTCTCCATTATCAGAGATGATATCTTTAGGCAAAATCTTCTTTTGTTGGGTTAGCACATTGTTTATATGTGCATACTTTAAATAGAATTTGAATATTTCTTAAAAACACACTTTGAACACCTGTAGGCCCTGGGCAAGCACACTCTGCAGTCCTGCTCCCATTTCTTGCCGTAGGTTTAGCTTCAGATGCTTCACACTTTCTAAGCCCTTGAAGCACCTGTTTATCACCTCACAAAATTAGACAGTGTTTTTCAAACCCAACTTGCATCTTGGGGCCTCTTTAAGTAGGAATTTCCCTCTTTCCAGCAGGCTTCTTCACTCTTCCTAATCAAAAACTAATACAACTACTCCTTGAGGGCCTTTCTGACCCTATCTCACCTTCCACAATAGATGGTTTCTTTTCCTAAAGCCCAGGGCAAGAAGCCTAAACCCTATGCTGGTCTGCGATGTTGAAATCCCACCTTCCAAACTGAGCCCCCACTACTGGAAAACCAGTGAAATACTTCAGGCATAAAATACAAGGGTCATCAAAAAGCTCAGTAATCAAGATAAACTTTTTTTTTTAAATGGGGTACTGGGGATTTAATCCAGGAGCTCTCTGCCATCCTGACTCCTTTTTATTTTTGAGACAGGGTCTCTCTAAATTGCTGAGGGCCTCACTGAGTGGCTGAGGCTAACCTTGAACTTGAGATCCTCCTGCCTCACTTCAAATCCCTGAGTCGCTGGGATTATAGGCGCGTGCCACTTCGGCCGGCTTTAATGAGACTTTTTTTTAAAAAAAAAAAATTAATATTAATGCAAAAAAAATCCATGACTAAAAAATATCAAAATCTAAAATAAAGGCCCGGCCTCCTGTGAACCGTATTCGAATTTCACCGTAGGATTAAAAGACCTCGAACTAAGTATCCTGTACTTCCTGCTTGTATTGCATGAAGTGCGAACAAAGGCTGAGAAATTTCGGAGGAGCCATTCTTCCGATCACCCCTTGCACCAGAGCAGCAGCACAGCCTGCTGCAGCACCTAGAACCCGGAACCCGTGCTTTAAGAAAAGGCTGGAATCTGAAGGTTCTTGTGGGGGCGTGTGCATCCGTGCAAGTGTGTATTACATCTGTGTGCACGCTTCTAATCGCTTCTCTTTCCAAGTCCTGGGTCAGGATAGGACAGAGGTTTGCCTCTTAGTATGCACACAGAACTCGGACTTTTGACTAGCAAAGACAGGGGCAATTTGGTTGCATGTGGGGAATGGAAGCTCAGGATTTCTTCTTTGACTACTGGCAGGTGTATCACAGCTCTTCCTGGCGCTTCAGTATGAGACAGGTACACGGCGCTCATTCTGAGGTACCAGAGGTACCTAACCTATATTACCAGACCATTTTAAGTATCTGCAGGACCCCTATAACTGTCCGCAGTAAAAGAGCGAGAAACTAAGACAGGAAAGGCCCCCAGACAGCGGGAAAGAAAGGACAGTGGAGGTGGAAAGGGAGGAGGAGCGTCTCCCCTCGTTCCGTCCCGCCCCTCACCTCGGCTCCGGCCAATGGTTGCGTGCTCCGAGATTTAGCCCCGCCCCTCCCCGCCTCCTTCGTTCCGCAGCTCCGCCCCGGCCGGTAATAATTAGGCTGCGGGCGGGGGATGCCGCGTCAGCGCGGGGCACTGGCCAATCCTAGGGCTCTCCTAGGCGGTCACGTCATAGGCCGAACAACCAAACAGAAAAGTTTAATAAACAGCGGACGGAGGGGCCGGAGGCTGCGGGGCGGGAGCGAGCTGGGGTTCGGCGGCCTCACCTGTCCCCATTCACCGGCGGCGACCGGCGGCGGCGGGCAGCGCGTCAGGCGGAGAGAGCCGCCGCCAGGTGAGGAGCACGGCCGGCAGACCAGCGGCCCGGCGCTGCCCCTCCCCCGCCCGCTCCCTTCCCCCACCGGCCTGAGGCGCGGCGAGGTCCGCCCCCGGCCCCTCCCGGCGCGGGCGAGCCGGAAGCGGAGGGCTGCAGGCGGGCGCAGCAGGTGGTGGGCCCGTGGTGGCCGCTCGTTCGCTGGCTCGGGCTCCGCGTTAGCCAGGGACGGGGCCCGGGCTGGGGCGCGACGGGCTCTCGAGGTCCTGGGCCGGCTTCCCGTCGGTGGGCGCGCCGGGGTCCAGGACCCTACTACTTGCCGGCCGCGGAGGCGCGGACGCTAACCGCCCTGTCCCCATTCCGAGCATTTGGCGGGTGGGGGTCTGGGACCCCGGGCGTCCTCCGTTGCGCCCCGCCCTCCTCTCAGTCGGAGGTCCTCTTTGGAATGTTTTTCCACCTGCCGGGTTTTTAGAAACCCGTGAGGGGGTTAAACTGGAGCGTGTCAAACTCCATTCTGTGTGCCGAGGGGTTCGGAAGTTAATCTTTCTTTTCCCTGGTCTTGTTTGGGTTGCTTAGAATTCAGAGTTTTCTTTTTTGTTCTTTTGAAATAGTATTTTTCAAGTCTTTAAGTGTAGTTGCGATAAACAATTAACGAAGAATATTGTGTTTCTGATAATTTTAACTTTATTTTAGAATACTCTGCTAACCACACAGTTAAAACTCCTAACTTACCTTCACAACTCCAAAGTTGTTCATTGGCGTGAGGAAGCTGGGACCTGGGGTCACCTACAGACAATGTATATTAAGTTGTTCAGCGATAAAAACTGAGCAGCCTTAATGGTTTTGATCCTCCGAGAAGAGAAACGAGATTAAATTCCTCTTGACACCAAATTCGGGGAATTTGATTTTTTTTTTAAATGTAAAATACTATAAACTGTGTGTGTGTGTGTGCGTGTGTGTGTTTTTATCCTGTACTGGGAATTGAATCCAGGGACACTACCACTGAATTACATTGCCAGCCTTGTGTATTTTCTATTTTGAGACAGGTTCTTGCTAAATTGCTCAGGCTGGTTTGGAACTTGCAGTCCTACTGCCTAAGCCTCCCGAGTCGCTGGAAATACAGGCAGGAAAATACCATAAACTTTTAAGATGAGTTATGTAATAATCACGTCGCCAGTTTTAGGGCACTTGCAAAATTAACATATAGTCTCCAGAGCATTAGTGAGAATATTTTGTGGAGTGTACCTATTTAAATTTCCAAAACAGGTTTTCTTAAGGGTTTTTTGTTGTTGATGTTGTTTGTTTTTGTTGTTTGGGGCTTTTTTGTTTTAAAAATGTTTTTAAAGAAGACAGGGATCACAAATGTACAGGAGGAAAATTTAAGAATTAGTGGATTTATTATCTTCATTGTAGCAATGATTTCCTGCGCAAGTATACATATGTCAATACATCACATTTTACCCTATGCAACTTATTGTATGTCAGATATTTCTTAAAAATTAAGTAATCAAAGCATATTTAATATCACAATTCTTTTTCCTGGTACATGAAACGACATAGTATAGAAAGATATACTAAAAATGCATGACTCCTCCCCTTAAACCAAGAACTGGAACATTACCAAAATTTGCTTCTGCTTATGAGTTTCTATCTACCCTGTAACCCTGCTTCTTCTTACTGAAGTAAACATAGTACTTGCATGAATTTTCTGTTTATCATTCTCTTGCTTTTTTAAAAAAGTAGTTTAATCACATACTTGCTGCAAACAATGTGGCCCTTTAGTTTTCTTGTCTTTTAAACTTCAGCATATTAGTATATGACTGTGGTTCATTTATCTCATTGCTTTATAATACTCTTGTTAACTTTCCATAACTCAAGGGCATCTAGATGGTGGTGTTTTTTATTTTGTTTTGCTTTTGACAGCTGTGCTGTATGAATATTTCTTGTTTCCAGTACGTGTTGCACAAGTACAAGAGTTTTTCTAGAGTAATAATAAATATAGATTGTATTAGAAACTTTTAGATAATCAAAAGTAGATTAAACACTTAGAAATAAAATGAATTTTAAAAAGGATTCTCTGTTTAAATGAAAGATCATAACCATAGTGATCAGTTCCTAGTTGAACATTTGTATAAGAAACCAATATTCCTGTTCATCATTATTAATGAATCTTTTCCTTAAAAATTACATTATAAAAAGTTTGGCACAATTTGATATCCTTTTTCATTCAAAAATAGTGTAGTAGAAAAAACACTGCATGTTATGTAAAATAAATTGTTCTGTCTTACTTCCCTTGCCTCAAATCTCAGGCAAGTTACTCTTAAAAATTTCTTTACTTTTGCATACTCTTGTAACAAAAGAAACTTCCTTAAGTATATCTTACCAGATTCTTGTGGACTTTAGTTAAGGGAAACACCTGTCAAATGGCAGAGCCTTTAAGGGAAAGCATTAAGACCAAGGTGCTACTCTATGCAGTCACATTGTGTGTCTTTGGAAAAGAAAGAATATGTGGTATTTCAGGATTTATAATCTCATATAAGTATTTTGGAGGTTAGATAATGTCCCAAAGTGTGCTTCTAGTGCAGTCTTTGTCATTCTAAGACACTGCAGAGACAAATGAGGGAGCAATAGTTCCTGAATTTCTTTTTTATCTATTTATATTTATTTTTTAGTTATAGGTGGACACAGTATCTTTATTTTTATGTGGTGCTGAGGATCAAACCCAGTGCCTCATACATGCTAGGCGAATCACTCTGCCTCTGAGCCACAACCCCAGCCCTCCTTAATTTCTTAATTTCTTGTGTGTGTGAGAGAGAGAAACATGCATGTATAACTTTGAATAACTTGTTTTTATTTGAAGGCATGAGAGTAGAGCATTTTTATTATATGTAGCTTACAGATAAATATCAAGATGTTTTACTTTGTTTTGGTAGAGCTCTATTGCCCTGCTTTAAAAAAAAAAAAAAACCTCATTTTTGTATTTGGTTATAAGGGCAGTAATAATTTGTGTGTTCCCTATTTCCACCCCAAGCTTTAGAAGGAATAGAAAGATAACAAAAGCTACTCATAACACCACCATAGATGACTATTTAACATTTTGTCAGGCATTCCTTTGGTCTTTGAATTTTTTATTCCTAAACTAAAAGTTAATTTGAAACTGTGTTAGGATGTCTATATCTTCAAAACTTATTCCAAATATAATTTGTCTCAATACCATTGTTTTATATAAGATGATAATGGTAGTCATGTAATTGGTATCTTTGCTTTAACTTTTCCCCTGGCTGCTCCTCTGGACAACAATAATTTTAAAATATGTATATTAGATTATCATCTTCCCAGGCTCAAACCCCTTCTGTGGTTTTTAAAAACACAAAATAAAATTCGAACTCTTTATTGTGGTTTGTATACACTTGACTGGTTGAGCCAATAAAAATAGTGCAAACTACACATTACAAAAAGAAAGAGGCTAAATATATTTTATTTAACCCAAAAGGCAATGTTTTTACATATGATCAATATAAGAAATTATTAATGGAATATTTTACTTTTTTAAAAATTGTTTTTATAATCTGGTGTGTGATCCACTTACAGTACATCTCAGTTCAACTAGCTATGTTTCAACTGTTCAGCAGCTACATGTGACCAGTGGTTACCAAATTGAACAATGTGACTCCAAAACTATGTTGCCCTGCCTGTTTCTTAGACATCCCTCCTACCATTCTCACTCTAAGTCCTACATCTTTATCTATCCTGGCCTTTTCAAGATTCTTGAGTATGCCAAACTTTTTCCCTTAAAAATGTTCCTTCTTCCTGGAGCACTCAGTCATATTTCTCTCCAGTAATCACTCCTTCAGAGATGGCTTTCATTGACTACTGATTACCCTGCTTTCTTTATAGAACCTGTCATCTGAAATAATTATTTGATTTTTGTCTATTCCCTGTTCAATTGTAAATTACTAGAGGACATGTTTACCACTAAATAATCATGTATTAAAAATACAAATTTTAATTCAAGTACAGAATGGTTCATGCCTGTAATCTCAGCAACTTGGGATGCTGAGGCAGGAAGATCACAAATTCGAGGCCAGCCTCAGCAATTTAGCAAGAATCTGTCTCCTTAAAAATAAAAGGGACTGGAAGTGTAACTCAGTAGTAGAGCCTTCCTCTTCCCCCCCTCCCCTTCCTTCATTCCCTAGTTCTGTTTTTAAGAATTCTTGATTAATATTTTCCTTTTATGGCTTAATAGTTACCCAATTATTGCAGCCCCATTTAAAGAATACTATTTTCTTCTTTCCCTGAAATAAAACCACCTTTTTCTTACAAAAATGCACATACACTTGGTACTTTTTTGCTTATTTAGAACTACTGAATTCCGCCCTGCCAAACCCCCATTCCCCAAATTCTTGGTTGCTGGGGATCTGACCTAGAACTTCACTCATGTTACTCAGATATACTAACACAGAAATACTTTATATATATACACATACACACATTTATGTAATTAATATATTTATGTATTACATATAATTGTATATATTTAATAAGATATATTATTTTAAAAATTCTTGCAGTTAACAGTTTTTATTGTTTCGACAACGTAAGCACTTGCTTCATTTCACAGTGTGCTAAGTGCTGAGGATGCAACTTTGAACAAGACAGGGTCTTTGCCTTCATGGAATTTACAGATCAACAAATAATTTTCAGATTTTGCCAAGTGCTAGAAAGTAAAGAAATGGAAGGTACTAATTAGGTGTCCTGAGAATGTCTCTCATAGGATGTAATATTTAAATTGATTTATACTACCAGTGTGTTTGAAAATTTCTTTATCTTCCCCAATCTGTTCAGAACATTTTTTAAAAATTTTCAGTTATAGATGGAACATAATACCTTTATTTTATTTATTTATTTTTATGTGGTGTTGAGGATTAAACCCAGTGCCTTAACCTGTGCAAGGCAAGTGCTCCCCTACTGAACTACAACCCCAACCCCAGAATATTTTTAATAATTTTTTTGGCAAAAAA